TGTGTACAATTTACGTAAAAATATGGGTGAGAATATTACGTCTTCTGAATATCGCAGGGAAGACATAAAATAGATCAAAATTTGAGTTTTACGCAATTGTTTTACAATCAAAATTATTAATTAGTTATAAATATCGTTAAAATATGACTAATTTTCTTTTAATCTATTCTTAATGCTGGACGGGCTGTAGTATACCACGACGCGTGAATCAAAGCCACGGAGAGGTGCGGGCTGGCGGCCCCTCCGTAAGACACGCAAGAATTAATAAACGAAGTCGATAACCTTTAAGTTCAATATTACCGTAGCCAGGATGTGTATTTATTAAAGAGTGCATTCTTATCTGTGTTCGGGGATTAAAATTACATTAATTTTGTTTACCATCGGTGTTATTTATATTTAGTTCTTGAGCGCTGAAGGTGTCGCTGCGTACAAAGTATTTACTAAGTCGTAATGGGCATGTGCGGGGCCCTGGGCGGCTCTTTCACTCTCCCCGCTCTGAGGATGGCCCTGATGGAAGAATGAATCATTTTCACACTCTTTTTCTGATTTTCCGTATCAAACGGAGCTTTAGTGCGTTTTATTTAGACATGAACAAATACGTTACACAGATCATCAACCGTCTCTTTTTAAATTTTATAAGATTTGATGATCAGAATTTCTGTCTTTAGCAACGAGCCAAGGGCTCTTAATTAGAACACTGGATAATGCTCTTGTTCTGGTAGAAAAGTGTAAAAGGCGGCTTTTATACTGTACCTTGAGGAATTCTGGAGTTTTGTTGTCTCCTTTCGACAAGTCCGTCACCTTCAAGTTGAGTTCAATCTTGAGTGCTTTGGCCAGCAACAAAACCGACCTACACGGAGCGCTAGCATTAACGTAATAGAAATCAATAGTCATATTGAACCAGTTGAAACTAAGCTTGAAGCAGTAACTGAGAGTCGGAAAGGAGCTGGCTCCCTTTATATCTTTTTAACGACGTAACTTATGGTACTGGAGCTCAGATAGATTACCAACATGCTCTTATCAGTTGTAAACAATTCTCTAATCATCAGAGTACACAACGGGAGAAATCTGGATGCGTGCTGTTCGGATAACTGTGGCAGCAAAGATACAACATTTTGTATGAAGACAGAGACAAATGTGCAAATGTTCAACAAGTCTTACCTACGGACTGGGAAGAAAAGTGATGTAATTAAAATCAGCAACGCACTTGATGAAATAAAATGTATGTTTCCTTTGTTATATTATTTTGTGACTCTAGTGGGTACGGTCAGAGATGTGCGCTGTATCTTTCACGAGGCAATACGATACGATCACTGAATAATTGCCAGAGATTAGCAGCTGTTTTGAGTCTGCCGTTCTGTTTGTTACCAAGACGACGGAGGAGGTTAGGCCGTGTCAGATCGCACTAGTGCGAGGCGCGATGTAAAATTGGACTTATATTATTCAGCCTCACTATCCCTGCAAACAATCCGAGTTTGTGATTGAGTATTGCCTCGGACATACACATACCTGTACATTTTCATACTTGTCAGCCCTTCTACTCATCGTCATGATCCCTTCAACATAACCAGACCATTAGTAAGATATCTTAGGTTTTGAAGGTCAAGCTATTTTAGTTGAACCATAAATTAGAATTCATCAACATTGTGGGTGTATTATCTAAGTTGTGGGTCACTGAAGGGCAGTGAATTGCATGTTTGAAGGTCAATGAGAAAACAGATATAATGACTTCTTTTCCATACTGCATGTATAAGAAACGTGAAAAGTCTTATGGCATGCTCAGCCAACATTCTTGCAGACATCGGTTAGAAATTTCTAATATTTTTTCCTGCATTGTTATACACGCAGGTGTTCACATTAAAGCTGACCATTGTCGGTCCATATTTACACATTGTTAGTAGTTAAAAAAACACACAAAGAGACTTACTCTAACTTATAATTTGGTTACATTCAATCATAAATGTAAGAAGTCAATAATTAATACTAAGTACTTTCCCTGTAAGAAGAGAATACATTTAAAAATAAACAAAAGGGACGTGAAGAAAACGACAATTCCAATTGCCCTTATTTAAAAATAACGCCCGGTTTCAGTGCAATTGATTAACTTTAAAGATGATTTTTGAGGGGCCCGGGCGCTGAGCGAAAGAAAATATTTCCTTTGTTCGAACCCCGACAAAGATGTTTTCTGTGGTTCGGATAGCAAGCACTAGGGAACAATGGCGCTAAGGCAAATTCTGTTTTTTTCCCTGGGAAATGATCTGATTGACTAAGGTCACAAACCAGAAAATTGTCCTGAGACCCAGAAGATGAATTTGTAGAAACTCTCGTATTTCCCCCTTAGTAGATGCTGCGGAAGTCGAAATTGAGGGTTGACATTTTTTTACTCATTCGCTTGTGGCTAGTGAAGAATCAACATGGCGAAATTATTCCTTAAGACAAAAGAGCGAACACAGGAAGGTCGGAACTCTGAGAAAAGTGTCCTGAGTTCGTTTTCCTTCAGGGGCTGGATTCTGTTTCAGTCTTAATCTGTATATCTGATACAGATAAATCGATCTGAAATCAGACCACCCACAAATGGCTGAGAACGTTTGCATTAATTTCTCTACGAGGCTTCACCAAATGAACTTGCCTGTATCAGTTCTAAGCCAAGTACATGCGACGTCATGACCTTCTAGCACCGCAAATATGCAATGCAGGGTTAAATGCGAAGAATAATCGATACAGATTAAGACAGAAACAGAATCCAGGTTTTGAAAAAAATTATAATTTACATGGTGTTCGAATTACAAAATAATCTCTCATATTGTAATGAACCATCATCCGAAGCCTTCTGACTTTTATTGGTTTTGTGTTTTTTATTCGAACCTAAGCACAGCTGAGCACAATCACGAGAATAATGGTTCCTGTATGGTTACATTAACTGATAATCTTTCAACAGTTTTAAGCGTGCAAAGGAATGGCTTGGTGATTATACACAGTGTCACACAGAGAGAAAGGAGAGTGGGCAGACTGTGATGTGTCGCCCCTTGTCCTCCATCACCATTACTCTGTAACTTTTTTACTGCTCGCGTTCTTTGTCCGCCCTGATATTATTTTGTTATAAATGAAATATGCCAAGAGATATTTAAGATTGCAAATCAACTACTTTTACAACGCCAGTTTTTTTAGATAATTATGAATAAGACATTTTCGATTGTGTAGAGATTTCTGCTTGAAAATTCTTTTTAACAAAAATACGAAGATGATGGCCTCTTTATTTTTAGAATGGTAAAGGGAAGTTACAGTCATCTGTGATCCATAACCAAGCACTAAGCAGTAAAGAAGTGTGAAAATTATTTGTTCCTGACTACGAACGAGAATGAAGCGAACCTCCGAATTCAACATGGCCGCCTCCTTTGTTCTTCCGGTTCTGTTGTATTCTGTGTCGCACCATAGTGTGACTGAGTAAAATGCCTGGAGTGTACCGCAGGAACATCAGACAACTGCTTACAATTCATATCAGTGCTTATTTCCCGAAAACTTATACGCCTAAACATTAAATGTGTTTAATTGAATACGCTAGTAAAAAAATCCCTGAAACCAATAACTTAGGAGAGCCTCGAAACCTGGACTGTAATCGGGTCTGTGACCTTAGATCCTGTAATTTCCTCTCCGAAACGAAAGAATGTTTCCTTGGCGTCGTTCATTTATCACGGTTAAGTTCCTGTTAACACAAAACATTCTTCATGAAAGGAGTCGAACTCAATGTCGAGGCCGTTGTTTCCGTAATCTTCTCTTCGAAGGAGAGAAACTCTGATCCTAGCGCCATTGTTCTGTCTCGCTTAGTTTCGGAGTTAAAGGGACCGCACTTGAAGGAAATCGAACTCAGGACACTTTTCCTAGATTTATGACATTCCTGTGTTCGCTCATTTGGCTTAAGGAATAATTATGCCATGTTTCTTCTCCACGAGCCACAAGCGAACGAATAAAGAAATGTCAACCCTCAATTTCGACTTCCGCAGTATCTACTAAGGGGGAAATAAGAGAGTTTCTACAAATTCATCTTCTGGGTCTCGGACAGTTTTCTGGTTTGTGACTTTAGTCAATCAGATCATTTCCCAGGGAAAAAAGTGATAATGGAACAACGGTTCCGGAGAATTTGACGTAAATACGTCTATACGGAAAGGAAGTTTATATATTGGCTTTATTCTAAATATTTACTTTATACATGCTTTACAATTGAGTAAATTTTGATTAAGACATTGCTTATTTAACCTGAATTAGTTACGCTTAAGATGGGTCTGTGGTAGCTGAAATACGTTATAAAATTTGTGCACTTTAGAGTATCAACATTTCGTGCAAACACCATATCTATACAAGATTTTGATCTAGTTGTACTACATTCAGGATTTGACATCAACATTAAGCCAAACGTTTCTTCCATAAATGTGACAAAGCTTTGATTTTCCTCCTTCTTTAAATCAATGTTAAAATCTCCTGTCAATATTATCGGCATTGTATTAGGATCTTTAGTGGCCATAACTGAAAACATCTTTGTATAATTTCTCAAATGACTCAAAATAAATCTCTTACAATCATCAATAGGTGTGTGGTTACAAATATACAGGGTTACAATTAAAACTTTTTCACCATTGACCATACACTCTGCAGCACAAATATCACCTCTGTTTTCAGCTGCAGCTATTCTGTAATCTGCTCCATCTTCCTTAGGTAGCTTCTTCAACAGATGTGGGGTAGCCATGGTAGTTGCTCCATGTTTCCCCGCCTGCTATTTGTTCGTCACGTGATGCATTTATAACCTTCCAAATTTACAGTTTCGT